ATAAACACGTAAGATATGTGTACTTCAAAGAAATAGAACTCATACATATATATATACATATACATATACATATACATATACATATACATATACATATACATATACATATACATATATATATATTCATATACATATATATATATCTACATTTTTTACATATATTCATATATTCATATACTCACATATTCATATATTGATATATTCATATATTGATATATTCATATATATATATACATACATACACACACATATATATATATACATACATACACACACACATATAAATATATATATATATATCCCCAAGACCCAGCAGTTGGTTGAGTGAACAGCAGCAATTGGGAGAAAAGGATCAAACTGCAGCGATTGTCGCCACGCACGCAATGGTAAGCAGGCCTACCGGGAGGCGGAGCTGTCGCACCGAAGTGCTGGGGTCTAGCTGTAGATAAGAGACATCACTTCAAGGGAGACGCCGCTCTAAATCTACTGGAGCCTAGACGCCTGAAGCCCTAAAGCCCTAAATCCTAGAACCCTAAGCCCGGAAACCCTCCTCTTTTTGCTACCTTTGAGCCCATGCACCTTCCCTGGTTCTCGATGCACTGAAGTCAAGAGCTTATTCGGGGCCGAGCTCCGCCAGAAAGCCTGAAGGCCACCAGTCCGAAATCCCCCAAATGAGCCCAAATCGGCACTAAAGCCTAAACCCTCAACCCGACATAATATGCCCTGAAACCATAAACTCCCAAAGAACCCAGGTTGGTCGTGGGAATTCGGACTTGGTCCGTTCTGGTCCAACCGGCTGTGGATGCAGTGGGTGCTCTTCAGGCCGCTAGTGGGGGGCTTCTGGGGTGAGGGTTTACAGTTTAAGAGTCACTGAACCTCGAATTGTTATAGCAGAGGTCAGGGACGGGTAGGGTTTAAGGATTTTGACTAAGTTTGGGTACAGGTTTCAGGTGTAGGGAAGGTCAAAGTTTAGGTGTAAGGTTCCAGGGGTGTAGATTCTAGAGATTTAGAGTAATTAATTTGAGTTTGGCTATAGCGAGGTTAGGGGTTGGGATCAAGAATGTATACAGATTTAGCACTTAGAGTTGCGGCTTTAAGGCTCTGGTGCCTTCAGTAGTAATTAGGGTCCCTGTAAACCGTCCTGAAGCTAATCCATTCCCCATTCCCGTCGCGAGCACCGTATACTGAGTACGTCCCTCCAAAACCACGGAGCCACGAATGACGAAGGGATCCTGATTCAGAGAAGAACCACTCAAATACAAATGTCCTGGATTGACTTATTATGTAATGGCTTGAAGCGTTGCGTCGACAAGCTGGTTGGGGAAACTGATGTACGCGCCGCTTCTAGTTCGGGTCTTGGATTGAATCGTCAAAAACCCCTCAACCCTGGTCATTATCTTATCTGCATCTCCTGTTGTTCTAGGTTGCGTAGGCTTCGGGGTGAGCTTTGGGATGTCGGGCGAAGGTTCCAGATCTACAGCTTTGTTTAGGGTGTAGACTTGTCACTCGTAGGTTCCGGGATAAAAGATTACAGGTTTCGGGTACGGAAGCCTTTCAACAAGCCGACAAGTTTGATCCCCGAACCTCCCAAGTCCCTGGCACACCCCTTCAAGCGAATGCAAACAGTAGCCTGCACTTTCGGGGTTTAGCAGGGACGTCGAACAAACAGAAGGACACTCAAAGGCAGCAGTGCAAATCCTAAAGCCAAATCCCTGGAGTCTGATTTGGAGGTGGCCAGTTACGCGTTTACCACCGCAGGCCTACTATGTGCCTGTTACCTCCAGGCCAGGGTTTTCAGTGGGGCAAGTTGCGCTTTGTTTTGTGGCTTTTGGGGGTTGGGCGTCAACTTCTAGATTCTGGTTGAGGCTTTGGATGTACTGTGTGTTTGCGATGTGGTGGTTGAGGGGAACACGGATTTGAGGCATTTGGAGGTTTTGGACTGTCAGGTTGACGAAGGATGTCTGTCGGGCTGCCGTATCCCCACTTTGCTGATGAATGCATTCTGTGAGACCCTATCATGCAGGTCTGTCGCTCTGTATACGGACAAACCCTGAATCCGAACTCTGCGCAGCGGAAGCAGAAACACCATCCCCTGTCACAGACAGTTTGTAAGCAGCCTAGCTTCGCAGCGAATCCTAAGCACCGTTGAAAGCCAACAATTAGTATTGCAACTGAGGGTACCCAGAGTAGTCAGCCTGATGAACATCATAATGATACCCTTAACCCCCCAAGCCCTCAATCATCAGCGTCACTCGTGTCGCCCTACAGCCCTTAGACTTAACCCTATAAAGCCTAAAGCCCTAAACCCTGAATTTTCAGCGAGTCGCAGCCTGCCCAGAACTCGAAATGGCGCGGGATCTCCCTGGCGATTGCGGTCTTTGCGCGCTCTGTGCTCGAAGGCCGCCTTTTTAGGGGTTTAGGGCTGTATAGGGCTTACGAGGTTTAGGACTTAGGGCCTTTAGGTTTTGGGGCTTGAGGCTTTGCGTCTTTAGGGTTAAGGGATTTAGGGTATAGGAGGGCTCAGGAAGCGGTTTGTTTTCTCGCGCTCGACAATTGCCTAATCATCTCCTGTCAGGTTCTCTTGTGTTGCAATGCTGGGGTTAACGGTTATGTCATATGGCTTTAGTCTGCGAGGAGGCTTCGGTGTCTGCTGCCGACAGCGCAGCACACCACTGAACCACGTGACCTCACCTCGATGTGCAGGGTTTAGGGGACAAAGGCGTGACGTTGCAAGCCGGTTGCAGCGGGAAGAAGCGAAGAGTGTGGTTGGCTCTCGACGACAGGCATTGTGAAATGCGGCGGCCGATGTTTGGAATGATAGTGCGAAGTGGCAGCGGAAGCAACAATGGCGGTCATACTGTCTTGGCAACAACCGAAAGGCAATTGTGAGGATGTCCAGCATTGCATCAGCACGACCGTGGCGATGAGGAACAGGGTGTGAGTCAACAAAGTGGATCTGCAATAACTAGGATGCGGAGCCTAATCTGCACCCTCCCAATCGAAGAGGCAGTTTTTCTTCGGTCTAACCGACATGGAGCGGTTGCGTTCAATTTCGCTCGGCACGATTCACAAGCAGAGACCGAAGAAGTAGTTGCTACAGTACTGCCAGACTCGTGACCTGCTCCGGATTGGAAGAACACCACAGCCCAAGATTCAAAGCACCTGAAGCGCCAACCCTCCAAACTCTGCTGCCGATTCACCCTTGTTTCATCCCCGCGAGTCCTCAAAACCAGAAGCCCGAAGCCTTAAACTTCGAAGCCAATAAAAGGTATGGGTTGCTTTGCCTGACTGCCTTGCCCAGGAAGTTTTGAGGTTTTTCTTGAAGCTGTAAGCACGGCTTTATGATTTCTGGATATGATGATGGAAAGGCCCCACTCCCGCTAGAGCAGCCCCAAGAAAAGGTGAGATCTCGTGTCTGACGGCGCGGATGAGATGGAGGGAGCTCATTGGTGCTATGCGACAGACGTCACGCCGTTTGGACATACGGGAGAGCAAAAAGGGCTTCGGCCCGAATGTTCATGTAAGATTTGTGGTTTGGGGATTTTGCTGACGGGCTGGGTTTTGGATTTGGACCTCCGAGCAGTTTAGGCGCAGGAATCAATTTTTGAGGGACAGGGTTCTGGGGCTTATTGATTAGGCTTAGGGTTTAGCTGGCCTAAACCCTAAACCCAAGGTTCTGAGGCCTAGCGAACGTTGGCAGACCCCCGGACGAGTTCCACCGCCCTCATCCATACCCCAAAATCCTAGTCTAGTTTACCTTGAATCCTATATCCTACCCTAAACCCTAAAGCTTGTAACAGCTTGTAATACCCGAGGCATGCACCAACTCACGGCCGCTTCCTTGGCGGCAACGACTGTGCTGGTGGCTTTTGCGACGCTCTATGACATTTCTCAGGTGCAGGGGCGGCCGGGGAGGGGAAGGGCCAGGATTTGGGGTTCAGGGTTGAGGGTTTGGATTCTCAAGTGCAGCAAATTTGATTGCTCAGGCTTCCTGATTACATTGATAGGAGAGTGTACATCATAGCCCTGATCGACCTTGCCTGGCTTTGTCCGAGTGTAAGCGTCAACAACCTAACCCTGGACACCCCTATGGTGACAAAATCTGGCCAGGGGGAGAGAGTTTTGCCGGTTACGGCATACAGTCATAGATGCAGATCTGTTTGAAACTTGTTTATTAGAGTATGTAATCCTTATTTGCTCCCAAGTTTGGCTTCGGATTCAAGACATAGGATTACCCATTGCGACTGAGCACTTCTGACTAAAGCTGTGATACCAATCTGATTGCAATTATCTTTTTTTGGACTTGCCTTCGAAGTCTCCAAACTTTGGTTGCGCAGGGCCACGGCGCAGATGCTGTGCCCAACTTGATCCTGGTATTGATCATGCCTTTCTCCTTGCCCCTCGCCGACGGGTTCAGGTTTAGGTTTGGGGGTGGCCAGCATCTTGGATCCCGCGGTGCAAACTCTGTTGTTCGAAGAGGTCTCGGAAGCAGCATGTGCTTCAGGACTGTTGGTTGGATGTCGGGAAGCTTCAGGAGTTAGGAGGGACACGGTGTCAAGTGCTCAACACCGTGCTCTTTGGGTTTCTAGTAGTCTGTGAGGCAGGTGTAACATGATTCATGGGGAACCCTTTTGAGGGCATCTACATCAGGGATCTGGGTCAGTCTGCCTACAGACAGCCTTCTTCCCATCTCCGAGAGTCTGAGAACTAAGAGTACTTGCATATGAGAACCAATCTCGCGCAAGACGAAGGTTTGGTTCAAGATGGGCCCGCAGATGATTGCAATGGGGCTTGCTGGCTCCGGTTCACTCTAATCGGCGTAGTTTTGGGGAAGCATCGCATACTTGCTCTCAGGGGGATGCAGCTCAGTAAGATGCGAGGGCAAGGTTGCTTTGCCATTTGGCACGCAAAAGTGCTTGCAAGTTGCATCGGAGCATTGACTGAAGCTTAATCCGACACGATGTTACACGCATAGCAGAACCCATATAGCATTCAGCGCAGCGCGAAACATATGCGAACAGACGACTACTCGTAGCAACCGGAAAGGCAGATGGGAGACAGCTGAGGTATGTGGCTGCCTGTGCGACAGCAGATTGCACTCGGTTGCCGTCCCTGTTCTCGGGCTCTGTTTGACTTTACGGGAAGTTAGGATTTCTGCGTTTTCGGTTGTTCGATGCTGTGTCACTTCAGGCTGCCATTCTGCACAAACGTCTCATAGCATCGTTTGTGTCAACATGGATCTTGGTGTTGACATGCCCGGACGGGTATAACTACTCCCACCCAGGGCCCTAAGTACCCCAAGCCCCAAAAGCCCGAACCCTTAAAGCCCTAATCCGTTATAGACCGCTTGGAACATGCCTCACCTTGAAGTCCCGAACGTGATCGCGGAATCCGTAGTTCTGGAGTTAGGGTGTAGGGTTTGTAGTCTGGAAGTGCTGCTTCCCAGCTTATTGGCAGAGTCTGGATTTAAAGAAGGGGTTTTTCTTAGTGCATTGCAGTCCGTGCTCAAAAAAGGGGTTTATGGTTTCGGGTTTTGGTTTGTTCGAGCTTTTTGTGGTGAGGCTGGCCCTTTTTGCTGCAGATGTTCTTGTTCAACCTGGGTGGCTATTTCAAACTCCTGCCCATGCACTTGCATGTTTGCGGTCTGCTCGGATGCACAGCGAGCGCGAGTCAGGATCACGAAGCTACCTGTATCCCCGACAAGTGGTCTCTCTGCGACAGTACGGGTCGGTTCATGGTAAACCCGTCGGCTGAAGGTCCGACATCCGGCCTGCTAGCTGCTACTTGGGATAGAAATGCTTTTCAATTTCATGATGCAGCTGGAAGCAAATGCGAGGCTCTGCATGCTGGATGCAGAGGAGGAGGAGGCGACTTGGCCGCTATAGAAGGCACCACTCCGTGCCTGCTTTTGTTTGGAATGCATGTGAACACGTGTGCCTCCTTTGTGCAGACAGCTCGAGCAGTCGAGCAAGCTGTTCGGACACTACACACCGATCACAGAAATTTTGCTTCTGGGTGTACGTATCGTTCAGCGTCCTAACGCCGGAACCCCAACCCTAAACCGTATCTTTCCAAAATGCCAGCATCCGTCATACTCAGCTCTCCTCATCTCGCGAAGGCTTGTGTCTCCCTTTGGGGTACTGCCTAGTAGGATTTAGGGCTTGCGGTTTGGAGCTTAGTAATTATCAGTAGTAGGGAGTAGGGGCTGACAGGGCTGCAAGAGTAGATCAAGGCATTCTGCCTCCTAAGAAACGTTACTTTGGAGCCCAGAGTGCCCATTGCCACTTGATTGTCGAGTATACGTGATGCCATCACAAGAAGCCCTTTATGATACGGTTTGGGAGTCTGGCTTACTTAGCTGCGAATGTCCGCCCCCAGGAAGAGGGGGCCTACATGGACCTGGCATTGTTCCTCACGCTCAGCGAGTCCGGTTTCTTCATGTGGGACACACGCGTTACACTTGGGGTGCTGCAAAAGCTCCTCGGCGAAAACATGCCCAAAAGCGCCTTAAGCCCAAGTTGTCCGAAGCTGTGACAAGCAGTTTAAGCTCCATAGCATGGGTCTTGAGATGTAGGGTCTATAGAAACTAAGGGTTGAAGGTGTTTAAGGTTTCTGCCTTAACACCAGGTCTGTGTGAACCTGTCGCTCTTGGGCCAGCCTTGAACCCAAGCTTCTCAAGTCTACGCTTCGAGGTTTCAGCTTTCTGCATGTTTGAGTTTTTGGTTCAGGGCGGAAGACCCTAAAGTAAGAAGCGTTCATTCAAGATATAGCGGCCTGCATTGAGCGCAAGGCCTGTGACACAACCCTAAACCCTCAACCCTAGCAGCTTACTGTGCCTACAAGTTTGGCTTCCCGTCATGGAACCTGTAAAGCACTTCAGCAGTATTCGAGTCCCTATACGATAAAGTACAGGCAGGGGTTATAAGGGGGTTGACTCTTTGGATGTAACGTGTGTGCTTGAATTGTGTCCTCGTCGCCTTCCGTTCTCAAGTCCAAACAATGTGAAAGAGCTTGATACTGTGGTCGGCCGGGGAAGGGGTTTTCGTTGACTATGTTCTGCTGCGTTTTGAGTTGTAAGACTTCAGGATGCGGTGCCAGATGCATTTAATTCAATTCAAGTTGGTTTGCCGCCAAGAGAGTGCATCATTCTGAGTGTAGCCACCCTCAAAGGCCAAGCCTAACACCTCAACCCAAGAGCCTGAAGCCCTTTAGAACCCAAGAACCTTAAGCCTTCATTCACCCACCTGCCCGCTTACAGCCGTCTATACACTTACAAGACAGTAGATGGAAACGATACGGAGAAGATTAGCGCACAAATCGAGAAATGCACCAAGCCAAAGAAGAAGACATTTATTGTAACGTGGTATGATGTAATGCAGTGCAATGTAGCTTCATGTGATGGCATATGAAAATGCACGTATGATATGGTTTAACATGATATGCCAACTTTGTTCTGTAACATGTAATATAGTATATAACAAAATGCCACACTATGTGATAGAAAAGGCATGTGTTGTAAAATATGCTCTATGCAAAAAACCGATACATGAGATGGTTGATGGGTAATTAGGTAAATACACATGAGCCATATGATAAAAGCTTTAAGCATATCTATATATATATACACGTATAGTTCTGTGTATATGTATATGTATAAATATATTGTATATATATATGTATATATAATATATGTATATATATATATTGTTGAATATGTGATTTGGGAGATTTGATTTATAACACAAGGCATATCATACTTGGTGTTATCATGAAAACATGTATGTCCATTTATGAAAAAACTCATAGGTTAGAACGTAGACGCTTCAGCATACTTGCATTCAAATACCTGGCCAATCATATGTCATGTATAAAGCCAAAAAAATAGAAATTGTTGTATCTTTTTATGTGGATATACATATGCAGCTGCATTTATATACATCGAAAGCCAATACCTTCTATGCAACATGCCTTACATGTTACATAATCTATTTAACATACTTTTTACATGATACAACCGACACCTTTTGCCATTCACATCAGTATGTGACATATGCAGGTGTAAACATGACATATACCATACAAAATACTTAAAATATGTCGTGTAACGCATACCGCGCTGCACGCAGTGTATAAGCTGAGAAAGAATAATATGAAACATAAAGCATACACTATCAAGAAAAGCATATATGTGCGTACATACAGTTTGTCGACGAATAGCAATGTCAATATCAATCAGCAGGTATGTATCTACATAACGCAATCTAGAACATTTAACATCCTGAAGAAATCTGGTATGTAATATGACATAGTCTTGTACATATATATACAGACACACACACACACATATATATATACGTATATATTATACAATAAGATGATAACCTGTACGCATACATAAACATATCGGTATGTATGCTTGGTAATTTACATTGCGTTTAGCATATCATGTGTTTTATACCATATACAAGAAAGAAAATCACATAGTGACTCTATGATATGTATATGCGTGCAGGCCTGTCTGCTATGCATATTATATAGCATATAAGTTATCATACACCATACATAGCAGAAAGCATGTAGTGTTTTGCGTAGCATATAAGGCACAGTATAACTTCTTTTGTTCACTATACAGCACAGGCTGTACAAAGTATAATGTAGAGAACCCGCAAACACATACACACATGACAAACATGCATTATGCTGTTAGTGTTTTAGAAATAGTACATGGCGCATAATGTATAAGATACATTGTATGATATGTGATGTATGGTGTGCGGTATGATGCATCATGCAATCCATTAGCAATGTACCGGGTTTCTTCTGAGGTTCGTGTACTTCACTTCAGCTGTGGTCGGCACCATCGGATTTCAGTTGAAGCTGGTCGACCTCTGACGGGCCAGGGCGGGTCTTATTAGGGTTTGGGCAGTAGGGTTTGGGGGTCAGGGGTTAGGCGAGTTTGGGTTCAGGGATGCGGCTATAGGGTTTAGGGGATAGGGAGGATGTGAATCACGGCTGCAGGAACTGGGTGTTTAAGGTTTCATAGACAAGAGAGCCCACATGCAAGAAAGGGCTGACTTCAGGTGTGATGGCTGAGGAGCGCAGGGTTTATGGCAATTTGGATGCTGCTAGTGTCCTTTACGGGTTCTTAGGTGCCTTAAACACCTTCCGAAGCCCACCTGATCCCAAACCAAATAAAGACTATGTAGCACGGATCTTGGGTTTGGGGTTTTACTTTCGAACTCGGTCTTACATTAAGGCTCAATAAGGATTGTGGTGATTGAGGGCTGGTTTTGGTGTTAAGGGGTTTGATGGTCGTATTGATATTTGAGTTGGACTAGGGATACTGCGTCTATTTTGGACGAGAAGAGGTCACATCTTATGAACTGCGCTGCCGCTACACAAAAACGCCACAGTTTAACGCTTCGATTTTCGGGCTGACAAGGCTTACACTGACGGGCATTGGGCACCTCATCCGCAAGAAGGATGCTTTTCAAATATCGCTTATGAACTTAGCACACCAGGTAGGGTTCGCAACTTCGTCGAATTCGGCACTTTGCTGCATGCATGTTTCAATGGTTCCATGTTCCGAACAGCAGACTCTCATTCCTCTGTGAGGGGTCGGGATCCAAGGGGCACCTCAGCCGGAAGCACCAGAATTTAGGGTTCAGGGCTTGCGGTCAGTAGCACACTCGAATTACGGCACTGCGGTATAAAGCCTTCAACGGCAGGCAGGAGTGTTCAAACTGTCTTCTCTACACGAACGAACTCGTGACAGCGCCTGCTCATCCCATGAATGCCGACTTGTCAAAGCCATGTCCATCTGGATGCCCTATTTGTTTCAGTCCCTGCCCAAAGATTTTTACCTTAAAATAAGAGTTTCGGCGCTCGGTGTCGCTTGGGCGAAGGACCTTTGGGTCGCTGTTGTTGATTTTTTGTAATCCTTTGAAAAGGCTTCAGGAGCACTTCGCTACCACACCGCGGAGTTTCGGGCGACATGAGCCGTTGAAGAAATTCAGAAGCCCACAGCCTGAACGGAAACTTCTGCTACCCATTAGAGACAGGCTTTCGACTTGTCTTGTTGTTTGGTACGGACTTACAATCATTTTAAGGGGTCTGAGGAATTGGTGATCAACTCCTCCTTGAAAATCCCTATATGCTTAAATATGCTCATATTAACACATAGCCAACTCCCTAAGTCTGTTTGGTTCGTCATCCATCGATGCCCCCAAAACCCTAGTCCAGAATTTTCAGGCACCTATATTCAGGAGTTCCACCTTTCGAATCTGTGGGACCTGTAGTTCGGTCTCTGGACACTTCTCCCGTTACATGAGTTTCAGATATTTGTGGCATGTTTTGTGCATGGTTATCATCGTTATACCGAGGTATCGTAGAGATCCTGCTTTCCTGATGACGGTAACTTCACCTCAGCAGAATCCCACTGTCCTGAGGAGCAGGTACCGACCAAGGAATTTCCAAAGCAGCCGAATATAGGGGGGTAAATAAATTTCCTATACTATTCTAAGGGTTCCTTAATTTAGTTATAGAAAAATATACCCCAAAACCCTTCTGAATTGGTTAAGGTCCCTGTTTTTGGCAGTTCCCACATGCTCTTTCGAGTTGAGCGGTTGGGTTGACGCGTCAGGGTTTGGGGTTTCGGGGGTTTGGCTTAGATACGATACTATTGTTATGTAGGGACAGCAACCTTCGGCGCAAGCAAGGGGGCACATGGGTTTAGGTTTCATGGCCAAACCGGGCCAGCAGTCCACCATGTAGGTATGCTGGGAGCCCTTCAATCAAAACCTGGGCTTCTAGGGTCAGCTCTTCGAGTAGGCCCAGGATCTCCGCCAGTGGAGGGAGTGCCAAAAAGCTCGATTTCTAAGCAGGATGGTCGTTGGGGCATCTGACAGGTGACAGAAAATCTGAAGTGTTGTGAACAGAGTGGCCTTCACCCCCAACTTAACCCCACCATCTGATTTCTGAAAACAGTCACTGGTCGACTGCCACCTGGCCTGTGCTGTTTTCAATTGCTCCAAGGCGCGCAGTAAGCTGTGCATGGAGGGCTTTAAATTACATTCTGCCCCTTCCAATCCGACGGGTTTCACACCCCATGTCCCGAAAGCCACAAGACCCGAAGCTCGTAAGCTAGGTCTTGTCAAGCAGTGCTAACGTTCCAGATACACATCATGTGAGGAACACCTAATACCGGCGTCTAAACAGCTAGAAAAAGTATTCCCTTTACTCCCTGTAGAACTGTACTATTTTACAAGGCATCCCTTCTTCTAGTTATTAACGCCCTACATTGAATCAAGGTTGACATGTCGACTCGTTGGGTTTTTGTGGGTGCTTGTAACTCTACGGGCTCAAGGTTTGAGAGACAATGTAGGTTCTTTATTGGCAAGACTTTTCGGATCTCTATTCATGAGAAGAGTTCTGCGATGCTTCGTATGGTTGCTAAGGGTGGGTACACTAGTAAGGA